CTCAGAAGGGAATCCACACCCCACAGCCATGGAGGCTCCCCTTCTCCTGCCCCGCCCCCCAACTCCGACCCTTTCACGGCGCTCTTTACTGTGGCCGCAGTCGGCGTGGTTGACTAGACGGACAGGTCACGTACAGCCCACGCGTTCTGGGAAAGCACCAACCGTGCCACGGCCGCTGGTCTGTTTTGGTTTGATTCTTATCGGTCACTGACAAACCAGTGAATTTAAAAGAACTCTAGAGAGTAAAAACTACCCTTAATTTCAGTAAGTTTCTATAGATTTTCCTCTGAGCAATGCAAAGATGAAGGTTGATCAGTAAAGTCAAACGCTTTGCGAAGTCAGAAATACAGACATAAAGGCTTCAATTCTGTTTTAGTGGTTTAAGGCTGGGCTTTTAGGAAATGCCCACTTTGTCCTTGCAGCTATTTCTCTTGGATGTTTACTATTCTAATGGAGATGTATCATTGTACCAGTGGTGCTGCTGCCAGTGTGAGTGTTTGTCTCAAGAGCCAAGCCGCAGTTTTGTAAATGGGTATAAATACTCTGAAAATAATAATAATGTGGGTATTAATGCATCGTTTTTGAGTATGCGTTCAGTTTTTTTCGACTTGGACTAGAAGATGACATATAATTTATTTAATTGTGGCATTGAGAAAAGCTTCTTGAATGGAGGCCTCTGAAATCAACAAGAAAGGCAAAAATGGGTGTGACCACCGTGCGTGCTATACTTCGTTTGAAATATCTCATTTTAATATTAAATTGTCATTTTATATGTTTAAATGGTTTTAATGTTGTCACTAAAATGGCATCTAATTAATACATTCACACAGTGTACAAAAGTATACCGAGTGCCACAAATTCTCCTGCTGTTGTGCTTATTTATAGCAGTGTAAACTGCTAACAGTGTGCTTTTATGTGAAAAGCATTTTTTGGGGGGGTAAATGTTTGCTATTTTCACTTTATCGTCAAGGACAGTCACAATCTTGCACCATCATTCAGCATGAAACATCATCAAAGCAATTAGCTTAGAAGTAATTTTCATGTACCCAAAGCTTTAAAGTAGTTTTCAAAATCCTGGGTGAGATTGCTTGTAGTTTGTCTTAGGCTGGGCTCTATAGAAACCAAGCAGAGACGGGGACTGGCGGCACCGATGATTTATCAGGGGGTGCTCTTCAGAAGAGGGACCTGAGGGCGGTGGGATAAGGCTGGAGGAGAGGGCTCAGCACGGGTGAGGTCTCGGGGGAGCCTGGGAGATTCCATAGGGATGCCCTGGAGCACAAATGTGCCATCTTGAGGCATTATATTGCCATGTCTTCACTAGTCATTGGTTGTAATTAGCTTTTTAAAGGAGTCTCGTGAATGGAGTAGTTTCCACGTGACTCAGGACAGTTTTCCAGGAAAAAGAGAATCTGAGTTACTAGCTTCTTGGTGATGGAAACTTTAGCTAGGAAAGACGATCTTGAGGGTACCAAATGCATCCATTTCCTGGGTGGATGGCTTAGTATAAAAGCATGAAAATCTTGTTGGACCTTGATTCTACCCAACATCCAGGAGAACATGGACTTCTGGTCTCCTTTTGTTGCTTGCTGTATAATAATAGAGTGTTTATGTGCCTAACTACGTTATCGAAGTGCCGCCATGCTGCTGTGAATGAAAACAACACTCCTTGCAGGAGGACCTGAAGATCGAAGGGCAACTTGAGTGCCAAGTACACTCAGGCAAGCCTTCATCTCTGCTTACTTCCCCTACTTGAAATGCTTTATTCACAGAACCATCAGACTGCCTAATTGATTCAGACAGGACCAAAACCCTTAGTGAATTCAATGAATAAACTTATTTGAAAATTCTTCTTTCTCCGCAACTGCTAATGAGGTCAACTCGAGAACTAGGTTCTTCTACCTAGCAGACCACCTCCAGCCCTCCTGTTCTTCCCCTGATAGAGCTGGTGGACAGGATTTTCTCTTTTTCCTTGGAAGGGACTTTTTCTTTCTAGCTATTTACCAGAATAATGCAGTATTTTACAGAAACTAGGTAACCTTGGAAAAAAGGCAGTGGAATTCCCATTAGTATCACTGATATAAAAGGTGTTTTATTCTGTTTCCAATTGTCAAATATTTTTCAGGGGCATAGCAGACGTTATTTTTTTTTTTTAAGTCTTTGAATTGCACAATTAGCTTTAAAGTCAAAGACCACCGACAGAGTAGAAATAAACAATAGGACATTTCCATCTTGGCTCAAAGAAATATTCATTGCTAATAATATTCCCTCTGATTGCATCTGTATTTGATTATTCTAATTTATAGAACAGGAATATTATTATGCAAATAAACTTGGGATACAAACAGAGCAGATTAATTCTGCTTTGAGTTCAAGCTTGTGTTGCAACCTTTTCATGCTTCTCAGGGCTTTGCAAGTGCTTTTTCTCTTCATACAGAACACAAACCAAGCCAGTGGCTCGTGATCCACAGTGTGACGGTCTTTTTAGTGGTGGGTATGATGTAGAGAAGGTGACTTGAAGGGATTCTATTTACGAGTAATTTTTTTAGTGATCTGAAATGTGACATCCTTTGTTATCTTTTCTCTACCAGTAACTAGCCTTACCCTGCGAAAGCACAAAATGGAGAGGGTAATATAAAAGATAGTTGTTGACTTGCCTTTAATGTTAAACCTTAAATTAACGACTTTCTTAGTCTTTATTTTCCTTTAGGTTGTTGCTCATTTAGCTCTGTTTATGTTTATAGTTTCCTAAACTTGGGCATTTGGTTGAATAAGCAAAGTTCCATTTTTAATCTGTAAGTTTAATAATTTATTTGCTGATTTCTGTTTACTTCATCCATTGCTCATGATTTAAAGCATACCTTACAGGTGAGGCCAAATAAAGGCTTGAAAGAACCCATTGTAACACTACTAGTGGGACTGTGAATATGTACAACCATTGTGGAAAGCAATATGGTGCTACCTTAAACAACTGGGAATAGGAATTCCATAAGATCCAGCAATACTTCTGCTGGACATATACCCTAAAGATGTAAGAGCCATCACACATGCAGACATGTCCTATGTTCATCTAAACACTGTTCACAACAATGAGAACTTGGAGATGGTTATAGAGGTCTAGATAAAGACATGTACATATGCAAATATATTTATATGAGGATGGGGAAATAGATCTATTTGCCTATATTTATAGGTTTAGTATTAAGGTAGCAGAAGGACATTGGGCCTCCAC